GGAATATCGTATTTAATATTGTAACATTTGATATTTTAGCTATAAGTCGTATCTCACTTTTTTTTTCAAAATTATGTTAGTTTGCTCAATAGATAACTAACACTGCATGCAAAAATAATTAAAGATGTAAAATTTCATTCCTATTGAGAGGTTCCCTAGAGAAGAATCCCACTTTTGCAGAAAATCTTCTAAACGAGAGTACATCCATGGAGATTTGTCATTGTCTAACATGTACGATATGTACAAGAACGAGATAGAAAGACGAGAAGTTGCTAGCTATAGTACCTACTATAAGATTTTTAAATCATTTAATCGACCGAAAAAAGACTAGTGTAGTTTGTGCTTACATTACAGAAAGGCCGAAGATAGTGAAAAAGAAACGATTTACTACTCACATAAAAGAAAACATTAAAGGCATAAAAGAAAAATGCAAGAAAGACTCACAAAATAATCCAAAAGTAAGTGGTGTTTTCGACTTGCAGCAAGTGATGTATTTACCAATGATTGCAAGGTATTCTATAAGAATAGACTAAATAACTAACTACAACTTTAAAATTTACAATGTTGGTACTAGAGACTGTAACTTTTTGTCTGCCATGAAGCTGAAAACAAGACAGGTCCCTCGGAAATATCCACGGCAGTGTATTTATTTTTACAAGGAAATGACAAAAGTGGCATTCAGACTGTGAATCTTTTTTGCGACGGTTGTGCAGGCCAGGCCAAAAATACCATTATGGTTTTAATGCTACTATATTTTATTGCAAAAAGCACTTATACAGGGTGTACCAATAAAAACTCCCAGGCCGGATATTTTGGTAAGTAATAGAGATATTTTAATTTTGCAAAAGCCAATTCATAGAGCACTAAGAGAGCTTTAGTTTTAGATATAAATTAATTTTAAATAGGTCAATATACAGGGTGATTCAAAGTTGAGTGCAAAGATTTTAAGAGCGTATTAACCAGCCAAAAATAAATATAATTGTGTGTCCTAACTTGCTTCGTTTTCTAGGTACATGGCGTCAAAAAAAATCGGTTTTTTAAAACAATTATTAATTAAATAAAATCACACTTTGAGATGGAATAAATAATAAATAAAATTTCATAACACAAATAAAAATTTAGACAGACCTATTTGGCGACAATTTCCATCATTTAGTAATTAGTTTTTTACTTGTTTTAATAGGGTCAGGCACAGATTTAGGTTTTTTTCTTGGAAACAAAGCTAGATACGAGTAAAGCTCAAGAGGCAAGAAAGTTATACTATTGATCGCTTAATCTAAAAAAATTTAACTCGCAAAAAAGCAGTGCCGTACTATAATTTTACCTATAAGTATCAAGTAGGTAGCCTCCTGAGACGCCACTGGAATTAATAAATTTATTTTATACACACCAAAGAAAGGCCCTTATGACGAAAAATAAACCTACTAAATTTTATTTAAAGTGGCTGAAAGGTTTTTGAGTAATTGATAAAAACGATTTTTTTAAAAAACTTTAACACCCTGTATCTAGAAAACAAAGCAAGTTAGGACATAAATTTATATGAAAAAAATTCTTATTTGGTACATACGCCCTTAAAATCTTTGCAATTAATTTTGAATCACCCTGTATATATAGCGCTGCGCTCAATATTTTTTTTTTTTCAATGGAAGGATCTTTTTTATATATTGCATCTTGAAAAAAATGCATTTTTAAGCAGATTTTGATTTATGAACTAGATCAATAAATCTAGCCAATTTTTGATATACAGAGTGAGTCACTCAAAACAGTTTCATTCTGCAGACATCTGTGTCAACCCCCTCCCTTGCACTTCACCAACACCTTAATTTTAAATAGGTAATGTACCATGTATGGCACATCATTGAAAAGGTAATTTAATGGAGAATCCAGAAATATTTCTGTACACTGCGTTACTTTAATTTTATCACCCTCTAGCGGAAAAAAACTATTACGTATTATAGAGTGTGACACTACAATATGTAGTACATCATTAAAAAGGCAATTTTATGGGGATTTTATAAATATAATTGTTTATTGCGATACTTTTAATTGTACCGCCCTCTATCGGCATAAAAAACCTATCAAAGAACAAAAACCAACAAAGTTGTACCTTACTGCAATAGCAGACTGACTTATTTGTTTAAGAATTACTTTGAGGAAGATGGCAGTGTTCAAATAATAGTGTGCGTAAGTCCATCAGTGAATGAAGTGTGACACCTTATTTGAAAGCAAATTTAATTACTAATTCAATGCACTACATAACATTAATATACATATCCTATATTGCACTTGTAATAGTTTGAAAATTAGTCATGCATTATTTGAAACATTATTATTGCTAACTTTATTTTGTTGCAAGTGCAATATGGAAATATTTATATTAATGATATGTGGTGCATTAAATTAGCTTTTAAATAAAGTGTCACACTTTATAATACGTTATAGGTTTTTTATCGCGGTAGAGAAAATTAAAAGTATCGCAAAATAAACAATCATATTTATGAATTTCCCACAAAATTACATGGTACATTCCTTATTTAAAATTAAGGGGTTGGAGGAGTAGAAGGGAGGGGGTTGACACATGACACATGAAAATGTGTTCAATTTGGAACAAAAATCGACCTGTTTTAGCATTTTCTTAAAATCTAATGATTAATGCCCAAAAACAGAATGAAACTGTTTTGAGTGACCCACTCTGTATATAAAAAATGGCTAGATTTATCGAATTAGTTTATAGAACAAAATCTGCTTAAAAATGCATTTTTACAAGATGCGCTATATAAGAAAGATCCTCCCATCAAAAAAAAAAAAAATGTTGAGCGCAGCGCCATCTACATATCGCTCATTTTCTGCAAGAACGTCATAAATCAAAAATTGTAATTTTTGAGTTATTGACACAATAAAGATCGTGAAGAAAAGCACTATTATCTGGTAAAGTGTCACATTTGAACTTTTTATAATTCCCATTACATGTCACTTGAATTGGTACAAAGGTTTTTCTCTCATTTAAATGCTACAATTTCAATATCGTCTCTCGGATATCTAAAAATGTTTTATTTTGTATTTTGGCTATATTTTTACTCGATCAGGCTAAATTACCATTTTATCACTCTCCTCGCTCATTTGCCAGTATAACGACACAACTCAAAATACTTAAACTTGAAAAATGTCAATGGCAGTAGCACCGTCAAGCGAATAAGCGATATTGACCTATTTAAAATTAATTTATATCTAAAATTGAAGCTCTTTTAGTGCTCTATGAACTGGCTTTTACAGAATTAAAATATCTCTATTACTTACCAAAATATCTGGCCTGGGAGTTTTTATTGGTACACCCTGTATAATCTAGAATGTCAAGCATTATATATCTTCATTCTAGGTTCGTTTTGTAATTATTATATAAATAATATACATTTTTGGTACTGTATCAGATTTGCAAATTCAAATATCTTAAGACAATAAGTTAGATATGTTAAATAGCTCTTTTTGAACTTTTTATGGTTATTTATTAATCTTGAGACTTGCTTTTTAAAAATATAGTATTAATTTGGAATATCACAAGCTGAGAGGAGACATAAAAAACTATTTTTATTATATCAGATATTAATTTACAAATTAAAGATATAAATTATGAATATCTGAAGAATTTTATACAAAATTAATGTAAAGTAGTTTTCATGTTAAAAATTGAAAAATACTTTTTTCCATAAATTATGATCCAATAGTAGGATTATTTTCGAAGTTAATATAACAATAAATAGCTAGAGTGTCTATAGTAATATTTTGAAACTGTCTTTTATTGTGTATTTTTCATCAGCAGAACACATTGGACTAATAATTATAGCATGCCATTATGTGGAAAGTACTAAAGAATTTTCATGTATATTTTTTACATTTAGATATTATTATATTGCAACTATTAGGGCAACTGATGTAATCTCTTTCTTCACTTTAAATATGAAGTGTATTTATCCCTATACATGTTAGGTTTCTATTAATATTTTATTGGTCATTTGAAATGTTCATTCTGTAAACCTGCATGAAGTAAATATATGAGAGCACACCATCTCGAACTGGCATCAAATTAAATTCATAAATACAACTGGTGATTTAACATTATTTTTGGTTGTTAATCGATAAAAATTAAATAATAGCATGATATAAATTGTATTTTTTAAAAAGTTAGGATACGATGGAAAGTTTTAGTTGAGATAAAAATGAAAGTCAAATAACTCATAGTTCAGATATTTAGAAATATCAGAAACCAATTAGTTAACTAAAATATTAAGTATAACGTCCCAAGTCTGAAATAGGGTAAAACTTGCAGAAGATATCTTGGAACCAGAGGCAAACTGAGGATAGCTGACAGAGTGCCATCTCCTCTATATAAAAAATATATTTCCCAGAAATTCAGTGATATAACACTCAATTCTGGCATAAAATTTTTAAATTACAACTTCAGATTCATTTTTTTGCAGTTTTCAACTATGGTAGTAGCTAACTTTTACCACTAAACCAATTAAATGTATCTGTTCTGGTTTTTGTATTTGTTTAACAGAATCTTCCAGCGGAACAGTCAACCCAACATCTCCTGTTAACAAACTAAGGAGACTGACTATCATGAGTCATTGGTCCTTCTGAGGATTAAAAAGTCTGAATAGTCAATTGATGACAGTTTAAATACAAGCCAGGCAAGCTGAATTGCTATTTAAAGGATTAAGGCAATGGTCCTGATATATTGTTCCACTATTTGGTAGATGAATATTACATCTAATTTAAGCATAATTAAATTTAATGTTTATGGTGTATATTTAACTGTTAAAAATTGTCATTTATCATTGATCGGATAATCACATTAATCCATCCCTAATATTTAATTAAACCATATTAATACTCAAAAATTAATGTCCAGAATTTATTAATACAAATAATTATTTAAGGGCCAGGGTTATGGATAAATTTATTTTTGTAACCGAAAAATAAAGTGATGAACAAAAATATACCTTCTTCAACTACTTCTCCTACAAACACCTTTGCAATTCCAGCCATTGCAATGACCACATTCTGAGATACAGAGCAGCCAGTAATTGTTTGCATTAACCTTTTAATTGCAGCTTTTGGAAATGCGGCTCTTCTGTACATTTCATAACGGTCTAGTTGATCTTCAGTAAAGTTGGAAACTAAAACCCTAAAAATACTCAGTATTATAATTGAATTTTCCAGTCTCAGAGTAAAAATATAAAACTTTAAAATAGTACTTACTGCATCTTTTCTCTTTCTTCCTCTTCCAATTCTCTTTTAGTCTTGATATCTTTTTTTGGTTTTGGAGAACTCACCGTTTGGTTTTGCGATATCTGCGGTAAAATAATATCGGACCCTAAATCAAGTATATCTTCTTGTTTAATATCTATTGAATTAGACGAAATAATTAACTCTGTGTTATGATCTCTAATATTTTCTTCAATTGCTAAACCCAGTTCGCGGGAATCATCATCTTCCATTATATCATCGTCAGAATTTGTTCCGTTTAAGTCAAATTGCTCATGTGGTTTAAAAGAATCCGGATCAGGTTTAATTAATATTTCATCCATTCTACAATTACAAATATTGAAAAAATCTATTTATTTACAAAATGTTTAATGTAAAATGTAATGTCACATTGACAATTGACGGGTATGATTGACTTCTTCTTATTTCCAAATGCAACAAATAAATTGTCCCGCTTCTAGAAAAATTAACAGCTGTATTATTGGACTTTTCTTAAAAGCAACCTTTTAAAAAACAATTAAGATATACGTATAACAATTAAAATATTATAGTTAAGAATATTTGTAATATTTATAGATCTGTACGTGTACTGCATGACGTAAATTAATTAGAGTTCCGTTTTCAGAAGACAGTATTTGCCGGATAATCACAGTAGCTCAGGCTAAAAACGGAATTAAGAAGAAGGTAAGTACCATCTATGGAAATTATATGGAAACATTTTTTACTTCCATCAGCTAGAGCCATCTGTTTCAAAAAATTTGAAATACCATTTATAGTTTATTATAAATCCGCTCAAGACAAGGCGCTGTGTTTAAATGTTTAGTGTCGAGTTGCCATATTTCATTTTCTAAATCATTTACTAACTTAATAGTATATTAATTATGTTATTTAGGAGCAAATTTTTTTATGAATAAACATACCCCTCCACTATTTTAAATTAAAATACGCGTTTAAAGCTAAAAATTACCTAAATTATTCTAAATGTATGTTGCACCTGCAAACATTCAATATTCTTTGGCAACACTGTCAGTTAGTGTCATTTTTCAGTCGATATATCTCAGAATTTGTTTGACAATAAAATTGTTTATTTTTCTGAAAATTAAGGAAATTGATATTAATTCGTTATGAACATTATTATCTAATAAATCGTAAGCTCAAGTGAAATTGCATACATTTACTGGTTCGTTTTTCAATCGGTTATATCGTTACATTTTTCTGGTTTTTATCTAAAATAGTTCTTTCGTTTTCGTGCTTAATTTTGGGTTTTTATAGACAATGCAATAGTGCAAATTATTGTAGGATTGTTTTAAAAAAGTAAGTATTATTAAAGCTTTTCTCTACTAGGTGGTCTATAATTTTTTCCGCATGCAATGTAATAAAGTTTTTGTATGGTAAAACCGGAGTTGAAATATTTCTTTAGGCTAGAAATACTGCCTACAGTTATGTGTACAAGTAGACCATCGTGAATAATTAAATAATTGGATATAAACAACTATAAACCATAATAATGAGATTTGTATAGGATTCGGATTCAAGTCTGTATTCTGTATTGAGCTTTGTTTGTAAACGTCACAGCTTTGGAATGTTTATGTCTATTATCAACACAACAAAGATAAGATGTATGTATAGATCATAGATCTGCTATCACCTATCACATTTGTAAAATTTACTCAAGTGTTGATTCATTTAACATTTAAGGTTGATTTTGTTGGATAAAAACTTCCTAATTGCTACCTATTTGTTTGTTAATTATTAAATTGTAGGTAGAGACAAAAATGTTTGTTGTATCTACCTAGGCAGAAATATTTATTGGTTTATGTTAGGTTTGTGTTAATTTAAAAAAAAAGAAACATTCTAAATGATTTATTTTACTTGTCAAATAGATATTATCATTTTAAAATTTTCACCAAGTATAGAGACAGACTAAGTTAAATTGAATACCTACAAGGACATCTATCTTGAAATTATTGAGAAGTGGCAATATTCTAAAAAAAAGAGAAATGTAGGGAGGGAACACTGACTGTATCTCTTCCTTTCTTTACTTCCATTCCTGGTACCACACCTTGATAGGTGTCAAATAAGACATCAGAGCACCTAGGCAATTTTGAGTTGAAACCTATGCCATATTTTTAGACTATTTTAAGGCTATTTTTATACCCTATTCAAAAATTTTATGCTCCTCGTTTTTTGCAAAAATCAAGGTGCTCTGCTAGCTTCGAGTGAAGTCAGCAGAGCATCTTATTTTTTTGTTTTTTTTTCCAAAAACAAGGATACCACATTTTTAGGCTATTTTTAGGATCTTGAAATATTATACAACTTTAAAAAAATTAGTATTTTTTAAAAAATAATTTTTTCTAAAAGTTTAATAGAATTTGAAGAGCCATTTTTAGCTTAAAAATGTGGTGTAAGAAAAAAAATTCATAATTCATTGTGCTCTGCTGACTTTGTCCCAACAAAAGCACTCTGTATTATTAAAAAAATAACAATTTTTTAGAAAAGTTTTTAATATTTTAAGAGCCTAAAAATGTGGTGTGGTTGTTTTTAGAAAAAAGTTTTAAAAACTGAGGTGCTTTGCTAGATTCTTTCGAGCTAATAATTTTTTTAAAAAAATACTAACTTTTTTGAAAAAAATTTATATTTCGAGCCTAAAAATAGTTTAAAAATGTTGTTGTTTTTAGAAAAAAGCTATAAAAAACCGAGGTGCTCTGCTGGCTTCGTTTGAAGCTAGCAGAGCATATTGATTTTTGCAAAAAATTAAGATCATAACATTTTTGAATAGGGTATAAAAATAGCCTTAAAATAGCCTAAAAATATGGCATAGGTTTCATTTCAAAATTGCCTCGGTGCCTTGCTGCCTTCTGACACCCTTGATAGAACCTAGGTAGGTTGTTTATGTTGTGTATAACAAAAACTTCTTTGGAGTTGCTTGCGGGAGAATGTTTTTTAAATTATATACCATCTTCCACCTGTTTTTCATAACCTACAGCTCTAGTGGATCATCATAGATTTGCTTCTGCTAGGCCGAATGGATGTTTACTAAAATTAACTTTTATTTCTACATATTCTATTATGGCCAGGGTTGGCAGGTACAGGTTTTTTGCACTTAGGTTTCTAGGTTTTCTATAAAAACCGAAAATTTTAGATTTTTTAAAGATAAATCTTAAGAATTTACAATTTTATTAATCAACTCTTAGGAGAAATGGTGCAAAAATTAGTGTATATGAAAACAAATGCAAATATTTTATCAAACGTTATATATACCAAGGTAATTTCTTGGTATTGACATTAATGATAGTGACAATAAAAAAATATTTATTTTTCACTTTTTAGTTTTTTTGTTTGCAGAATGTGATCTTTTAATATTATAAAACTAATGTTCAAGTTTTGCTTGTATTTTTTGTTTATCTTTATTAATAATAACTTTTTACATATATGAACTACAAACCTATAAAATCTAAAAAAAAACCTTAAAAAACCTAAATAACCCAAAAACCTACTTATATATTTTTAATTCTTAGGTTTTTTCCAACCCTGATTTTTTTGCTCATTAAATGCAATGATATTCAATGAGTATTGGGGACGATCTTCTGACAAATTTTGTAGTTTTTCTGTCCTGATGAGGACCAATTTTAAATTTGAAATCCTTGTTAAAATTTGTAAAAACTCAAAATTTAACAACTTCCCAATAACTAAGCAATAGTGTTTCTTACTTGATACTATTAAGGTAGTTTACTCGTAAAATGGCTTTTCTTAAGAATTCAATAAAATTTAAATATAAGGATAATGAAAGTGTCTTTTACGTAACAAAAAAAAAGATTTTTTGACCCTCTGTGTAACGAGATATTAACAATCAAAATGTGCATAATTAACACTCTAGAAGCCTGTCATGTACACAACAATGCATTTATTTTAAGATATCTCCAAAACGGTTCTTACTATATTTTTTAAAAACTAGGTAATGTTATGTAAATCAAGAAGGTATAAAATTTTCTAAAAAAAAAACCGCTTAATTTTTTGACCGTCTGGTAACAAGATATAGATTTTTAAAATGAAAATATTTTTAAAGCTGTCGGCGTGTAGTTGCGTACAATGATTACAACTTGGCAACATTGTAATCGCTACACTTAACGCGCGGTAACAGAATAAAACTCTATCAACTAAGAGGCTGTTATACCATGAGGACGAGTTCTTGAAAAATTTATTCGTCCACTGTCTTTGAGAACTGGAATCAGCGGTTCTGTTTGAACCAAAACAAACCCTTAAAATTGATATGAGCAAGTCACAAATTTCTATAGCCCACCATTCTTATATTTGCGACGTTGCCGGATGGATTTTACTTGAAATTATAACATATAAGCTTACATATTGTGTTGTGTATAGTAAATAAATTTTTTAGCATTGAGAATCTCAAACTTTTGGTATTCACCATTAGGCGATATTTTTGCGTACGACTGTCGCGAGGGAACTACCTTAAGTAACGGTTCATTGTTAAAAATTTACTAAGTAATATTAATATCTCAATCTTAAGACTTATGGGATAAAGGCATTCTCCCACAATAAATTATAAAATTTTGTATATTTTTCAGGCCGTTAAGGTATATCCAAGACCTTAGAGCATTGGATGGGGCTTGTATTGCCCCAAGTTTTCTGCACTGGCTCCCACTTCAACCACCACCATTACCCCGTTAAATTCAGAAGGTAAGGCATTATATCCCATTACTAATTAAAATTTAAAAATGTAAAAAAAACCCTGACACTGTAGTAGCTATGTGCTTCGTTTGTCTAATTGGTAGAGGCGCTGAGAGTTATACTCGGAGGTTCCAGGTTTGATGTCTGGCCAATGCACAAATTTTTTCTTCCTTTTCATACGCTCATCAATTAGAAAAGCGCTAATGATCTTCAAATAGCTGAACAGATTTTCTTGGATCGTAGCTATTCACCTTTAAAAAAACTAAGTCAAAATGTTCATCTACTTGGAAGCTGCGATGTCACTTACCGCAGGCAGACACCCCCTTGTTTGTGACGGGGGGTTAAAAATTAAAAAAAAACAAACTATTTTTTTTTCAATATGACCACCTGGGCATCTAATTTGCAAAATCTATGTTAAAAGGAAATTAATGAGGATATTTAATTATAAAAATAAAACCAATGAAAAGATCTTAGTGGTATAATAATAACCATTCTTCTTGGTTGTTTATGTCATTATTTTTTATAATTGTGGAAGATATAATAAATATACTGTGTTTCATATTAAATTCTCTAAAATATTTTATTAGTCTTGCCCTGTATTTTTTAATCTTTTTGGTTAGTTACTATGTTGGCAATAACAACGTCGCTGTGATTAATAAACAGAATGG